GTGGCCTGCAAAACAAGTGCATAAATGAAAATCCATTAAAGGCAAGCTCAGCTCAATGCAAACAAACGGCGTCGGCCAGAGCACCGCCATTGCCTGCTGATAAGATAAACGTTCTTTAACGCATACGTATATTAATGTATGTATATATTTTGTGTGTGAATGTGAATGTGTATGTGTCGGTGCATGTGTGTGTGTGTTTCACATTTTTGATTTCTTTTTCTGTGCTTGTTTCCTTTGGTCCCGCAATCAGATGTTCGACTTTTGTTGACAAAAGTCCCTAGTGCTGGCACATTTGCCGATAGTTTTAAAATTGCATATTTACTCGAAGCAGCCAGTCCATAACGGAGTGCAGCCAAGTCGCCAAACCGCGAACGCATCGACGCCTCGTTCCAGATTGTTGTTATGATTGAGCTTAATTTATATCAATTGAAATCTTGAAACATTTTGCAATGATATCTGCATAATGAATTGCTTTGCAAATAACAGCAGCTGCTGCAGAAGTTAAAACAAAACTAAGTGAAAAGATTTCTGGCAAGCCGGCAGAATGAAACACAATGAATCATCGCTAACCAGACGATAACACTCGGGCAGAACTTTAAAAGTATAATTGCATTTTTGCCGATTTAGTAGAACCTGCGGAACAAACGTGGAAAATTTATGTGAAATATAGTATGAGCTGATAATACATTTGGCATACATGCGGCAGGCGCAAAAATGTCACTAATTTTTGTATTAAATGCATAATTAAATAAAGAACGTCACATGTAATTAACACATCGTGCCCATACGAACCAATACAACTGTGACATTAATGAGAACGTGACTTTGTTTTTATTGTATGCGCAAATAGAGAAATATAATCTGTACATAAACAAATAAACAAACACAAAGCCATCTGACATATGCATAAGCGTTTGTACATATGTGTGTACGCAATTATGGGTTACTTTTAATCGTTAGCTGGACGAGCGTATGCCTTGTGATAAATATTTGGATATATAAGGCTTACCCTGATGTGATTCTTTTTTCGCTACTTCAACAATCGTTTCTACAAAATACAGAATAAGTAATTCTTCTGCTCATTAATAACACATATCACATGTTTCAATCGAACGTTAATCTGTTTGCATATGCAAACAAAAATTACACACATGTACACACTTATACACCCACGCGAAGGTGCCCGCAGCACCACCCACCAGTTATACACATACACTACGCCTTGAACTTTACGCACGCACAACTTTACCGTCAAGGTTTTTACTACAGTAAATAAAAAGAAACACGCAGCAAATGGTCTTGCTCCAACAGGTGAAATCCACAGGACAGCGCACGGCAAATCAATTAATATTTAAAATGATTGAAACGACATGAAAAAAAGCTTGATTTAAACTGCGTTTGCTTTTGTTATGCCTTCAGTCTGTTGTTTGTGTGTGTGCATGTGTCTGCATTGGTGTGCAAAATAATTTCTCTAAGAAAGCAGCTGGTGCTGACACAATCGATACAATATGCAGTGCTACTACTCACTTGTTTCAATTATTTATTGTTTTATTTTTATATTTAATTCGCCAAAGGCAACTATTTGGTGTTTGCTGCACTGTTTTTTCTTCTTTTTAACACTCGCTCATTCTCATTCGTTTTTTTTCGTACTCGTCGCCATTGCAATTGCGTTGCAGTTAATTGTGATTTTATGGCACAATACACGCACCTCCACTTGTAACCACTCAGCAAATGGGACGGGGATTATTGTAATTTTGCTGATTACACATTTTACAGGATCTTAACTTTGCTTATTTAAGATGTTTTGTGGTCTAGAACTCAGCGCAGGGCTCGGACTGTCCAGTGTGACCATTGTAATATCGATGATTTCTTACAAAAACCAATCGATGGATCGTTCATATTTTCCTATAGGGCTTTCCCTTTTTCCGCATATAAACATCATGAAACTATACCTGTTTTAAGCAAATAAAAAAATAAGTGTAGGTAAATTAACAAAAAATATATATATAATCACTGTTTATTGCGATGGTCGACATTGTTTTATTTTTCTATATATATTTAATATAAAAATAATTCAAAATTGTTTAAGTATTAGCGTTGGTTTAATTTTTAAATTTTACCGGATGGTCTAAGGAGTTAACTTTTAATCATTCTTTGTATCTTTGTATCTTCGATACCATCGACCACCAGTATAAATATGTGATTAAAATAAATTATATTGCAATTGAATTATAGCATACGTTAAATTTTTCTAATATGTAGATTCCTTTCATTCTGAAAAAGTCCACTATGTATTGTTACATAAGATAAAGAATATTTTTTTCATTGCAAAAGCAAAAGTATCGATATAATTCCCAGACATTGTCTAGCACTATTTTTGACCACATACGGTGGCGCCAAAATTAGATTTGAAAATAAAGTTACACGACCCGTGCCAATTTATTGGCAAATACAAACGACTTAAATGTAGATCAATGTACGCGGGAGACTTTTTTCAGTCATGACTATAAGCCATGTATTATTACTTGTGAAAATTCAAAAAGTCTAATATTTAATTCGTCTTCTATTATCTTTCTCTGTGAAAGTGATGCTCAATTTTGTTTGTTGGGAACACTATACTTTTTTGTAAAAAATGAATAATTTTAAATACAAAAATTCTCAATTTTTAATAAACCAGTTTATGAACATGCACTGGCAATTAAAATATACAATGCATGCAGCTAAAAGTGTGGCGACATAATTATTTAATCCATAAATACATTTTCCCCTGTATGGTATGCTTCACCGGATTGATCTTCTTTAGGATCTTGGTCATGGTCTCGACCAAGCGATCGCTAGAGACGCCTGTCTTTTTGTTTTTGAATTTAGTCAGCAGCTCTGTAGCTGTCAAGGGCTTTCTCTTAAGATATCGACGAACTGCTTCCTCGGTGATTCCATAGTCTCTGTGCAAACAAATCAAATATCAGCAATTAAATCTCACAATCACTGCAATGGTATACTCACTCCACTTTGTTGCTAACTACGCCTGCGAATGACGATGGCAAAGAGTTGCTCAGCTCGCTCTTGGGTCGTTTAGCGGGCGTGCTGCTAGGACTGTTGCTGGTGTCAGATCCGGTGAGATCGCTGGGCAAGCTGTTCATTTTGCGTTTGTTGGGGTCATTCGTGAGAGTAGGCGTGGCCGAGCGTGATTTATTTGCATTGCTGCCACTGGGGATGACCTTGTTAGCAATATCCTTTTCCTTGTCTTTGTCTTTATTGGTTGCAGACTTCTTTTTAGACGGTCCATTGCTAAGGTCATCTTCGGTATCTGTGCTATCTGAACTGAGATCCGTTGATGAATCACTACCGTTTGTCTTTGATTTCTTGTCGTCTTTTGATTGTTTCTTTTTCTTTTTATCCTTGGCGGCTTCATCTTTGTTTTTCTCCTTTTTCTTTTTATCTTCGCCTTCCTCCTTATCTGATTCATCTGATTTCTTTTCTTCATCCTCTTCTTCATCAGAAGTGAGCAATTTGCGCAGTGCATCCTCTTCAGCCACGCCTTTCATGTCCTTCACCATCTTAGACTCTGGATCAGGTTCACTGTAAATAGTTTAATAATATAATAGTGCAGGAAAATTACGGATTGCAACCTACTCTTCACTTGAGCTGGTATCGTAATCCATTTCGCGACCCTCCTCGTCGCCGTCATCAGACTCCTCAAAAGCTTCATCGTCCACATCACGTTTCTTTTTCTTTTTATCCATGCCCTTTTTTCCCTTACCTTTCTTCCCAGCGCCATCATCGCTGTCCTCCTGCTCCTTTTTCTTCTTTTCCTCCTCATCTTCAGAATCGGACTCATCCTCAGAATCAATCCACTCATCCATATCTGTAATTTTTAGTTCCTTAGACTTTTTAGTAGCAGCCTTTAGCAATTTGACCTCCTCTGGATCTTGTTCTTCCTCCTCGTCACCGCGCAAGCGCTTGCGCAACATAAGAGAGAAGTAATTCATGACTTTTTTACGACGTCCAAACTCCTGTTCGGCCTCCTCTGCTGACAGGGACTTGTAGCGCTGTATGGGCTGGAAGTTGTACCACTCATTTAAAGGATAGGCTTCGATAGCACCATCTGGGGCGTGCGTGAACACATAGAAAGCGGCATTTTCCCCCACTCCGCCTTCTCGTATGCCTTTGAATTTTTTTCCCATTTTGCCACCCACTTTTAGAATCCAGGGTTGAGCCTCTGGTCTATATTTGCGCGCTATGATACCAAATTTTTTACGACGTGCTTCTTCACGTTGGTCACGATTGTACTCCGAGCCAGCGCCAAATTTTGGCTGTTCCTCGTCGAAACCCCGAAATTCTTTCATATTGTTCTCCCGCTCCAGCTTGACGTTGCGCCACTGTGCGAAATCAACATTGAGCGTGGCATTAAAACGCATGACATGGTGCTTCTTGCGCATCTTAGGCACGCGAATCTTAAACTCCTGAACATTGCCACTCGACGAGGTCGAACTGGACGCCACTGCAGCTGCGGACGTGGTACCTCCACCACTACTGCTAGTCTGGAATTGGTATAGTATTGGATTCATTATTAAAAGCTGTCAAATGTAATCGGTACTCTACTTACTGTCGATTTTGCTGCAATCGACATGCTCGAATTGTGAAATGAATATAAATTTATTTTCCTAATTCCTTTATATCAACGAAGTTACTGACCGGCCGATTATTTTGTATTTATGTATCGATAGTAAAACTTTTTCGATTTTTAAGTATTTTTACTGTACAACGTTTACAAATATAGGTGACCATTTTTAGACGATTAGTATTTAGGAAATTTTGGAAAATTATTTATTTAATGAATTTTTAAGAATCAGTCAACTTAACAAATAACATTGTTTACTGCAATATTGCTGATTGCATAAACGATTGATTTAAAACTATTTAATCATTTGACAGGTTACCAAGGTGACCAAGTTGAGAGCACTCATCGATAAATCGATATTTTACGGATTCATAAATGCTCTCATCTCTAGCCGCATTCTACTAATGTTGTGTTTATTTCAATAAAATTTGTGTTTTTTGGTTCTTTTGACCTCCATTTATACTAATAATGTCACGAAACAGCGTGCTGACCGATGAGCAAAGCAAACTAAATGCTCGCCTGGAGGCACATATGGTCTATATATGCCCCGAATGCGGCAAGGCGTTTCGTACACAAGCCGAGTGGCGACAACACTTAAATACGGTATGATTTTGTAAAGCGACAACATATCTTCTTTATTTTCTTATTTGGTAATTCTCATGCAGAAGCACGACTACCTCAAAAAGACCTATGCAGATTTCAATTTTATTCAAATCGATGAGAATTTCCACGAGTGCCAACTTTGCTTTAAGTGGGTGGAGAATGCCCACAAAACAATCGCCCTCCTACAATACCATTACTTTATGCATCTGGATCATCGCGAAACTTACCGATGTGTACACTGTCGCCTGGCGTATACCCGGCGACGAGCATTAAATGAACATCTGTTATCCACGCATATAAAAGAGATTGAAAAGTATGAGGCCAAGTTGAAGCAAGTGAAACGTAGCCAGGAAGATAAAAAAGCACCAAAAGGTAAAGGTGCAAGGCAGCCGCGCAGGCGCAATGATCTGTTGCAAAAGGCATTAATGGACATTGATCTGCAAACGGAAGATCAGGAAGCAGCAACGCCATCAGCTATTCCTCCAGTGAAAGCTAAGCCCAATGCCAGTGAACAGGCGCTAGATCGCTGCTTAAATGCCTACGAGGACATTGTGCGTAAGGAAATGGAGCAAAAACAGTCGCAGGATGTGCAATACGAAGCAGATTTGGATGCACTGTGCCAAGAGTTCTTTGAGGAGCGGCTTGAGGAAACTGATAAAGTGGCTAAGCCGACTGAAGCACATCCCCAACAAAATAAGGAAGTGGTGATTATTGAAATCGATGCACTGGGCAAGGATGAAGTGGATAAATTAAAGAAGAAAATGAAGTCAGAACCAAAAACAGATACAGAAATAACACCGCCGCCCAAACGTCGTCGTTTAACAACAACCCCCGAACAGGATGGCGATGGAGATGTTAGCATCAGTGGCCTTGCGAAACTCGTTTCATACTTGTGTCCCAAGTGCGGTAAGGAAATTGAATCCATGGATGACTGGCGTAGTCATGTATTTAAGAAGCATAACTTCGAGCACTACATTGAGAATAGCTTCAAGATCAAGGATCGACAAAGCATTTGCCTACAATGCAATGAGGTGCAGCACACCACCAAACGCACTGAACTGCAGAAGCATTGCTTTAAGCATTTACCCTTTCGGTCATATTTGAAGTGCACTTTATGCGACCGGACCAAGACAAGCATGTCAAAGATGTACAATCATATACGCTACAATCATCAAGAGGAGCTTCAGCGCAAGAACAAAACCCAATTGCTTATCAAACCGGAGCCCAAATGGACGATTCCGCAACGTTCAGTTAACCATCGTGAAAGTTCTGAGCCTGATCGTCGAATCAACGAACCGGAGGAGGAACGCATATGCAAATATTGCAATAAAATATTTAAAACACACTGGCGTTTCGAGCGCCATGCGACGCTGTGCAAGGCGCATTCAGCGCCCAAATCTACACCAGATATGACGGCCGATTCATTGCTTAAGCATTTGCACGAAGGGCGATTACGCATGAATACCATATGGAAGAAAATGCAAATGGAGGTGTATTAGTTTCTAGTTAGTCTTATATGTCGAACAGTGGTAGTAGTAGCATTAATTTTTTTAAATAAATAAATTTCAGACATACCATTTCTAATCTAGTCGATGCCTTTGACCATTATAATTAGAAATATTATATTTTGGGTCATTCTTCTCTGCTCATCTATCCCTGGGGATACCCAATGACAATTACTATTATACCTTACCAGATAGTATGAAATTTTATGGGAGAAAGATGGGAGAGACCCAAATTATCAGTCATTAGTCAACTAATTGTCCTAATTTTGTGAGTGTATAAAACCATCTTAGAATATTGCTATTTATGTTGAGCCAACTCACCAACTACGACTTTTAATATGCTTCTAATTATTATAGATTTGAATCAGAAATATCATGGCATGTTGTTCATATAGTTGTTCCTTTTTAGGGGGTAAAAACAAATAATCTTGGTTTCATCAAAGATTTAATAACATTGTCAGCGAACTGCACATAAATGCACTCAAGATCTATACATGAGGTTTTTTAAGATATATTTTTAATGAAAATTACTAGTAAAATGAATGGGATACAAACCTCATAGAATTTTTTCCGAATTTTTAAGAATTCAAATAACGCTGTTAGCGGCGAACTGTACGCCATTTAGCCACACCTCTGCTGTGGTGCTTTGCTTTTTGGGTTCTTAATATGACCTTGGGTCCTGAAACAAATGTTCTAGATGAAATGCCACGATTGCGAATTGGCAGTACGCGATTCTCGATAGCATTCTGAATATGTATTTCGCGCGTGCGCAGTATTGCATCGTGGAAATCCATTTTTGGTAACTTGTCAATGTCGACTTCATGGTTCATGGTTAACATGACAACGTTGCGATCTTTGCCCTTTCTCAACGCTTTTTTCACATTCTCTGAAAATCGGAGGAACTTATTCCGCCAATAGTCATTAGTAGCGGAAACATCATTTGGTAAGTCACCATCATTTTGGGTATCATCTTCAACGTCATTAACAGTTTTATTTGTCCGTTCCCCAGGATTCAGCATGCTGCCATTGTTTTGCTCTCCGTCAGGAATTGTATTATTTATAGCTGCCTCATCGGGGTTACTTCTACGACTTAATACACCTCGCTGGGGTTTAGTTCCTTTGTTATTCTTCTTTGTCGCATTTGCAGCTACCCTGAGCTGGCTCTCTTTTACAGAGCAAAGACTTGCGTAGGTTGGATTTGTACCAGATTTGCAGGATTCTCCAGGGTTGAGACTCTGATGGTAGACCGGCTGGCCCACAACGGGCGCATGATCATAGTTGCAGGTGAAAAATGTTTGCAGCCATCCATTTATTGACTGTTGTAGAACCGCGCAACCCACTTTCTGGACCTTGTCATGCACAAGATGCATAAAGTTCAACCAGGGATTACTATAATTAAACAATTCTTGCTAATTTCTAAATTTGCATTTCATTACCTGTAACTTACCCATATGGGTTCCTGTATTGTGCGATGTCGTTCATCGTCGCGTTTTTCTCTTCGATAAACCATAATTGAAGTTGTGTGTATAAAATATCGTCCAAATCGGGTATTGAGCCCCTGAATCCACGATAGGCTACGGTCTGCCCGACATTCTTAAAATTATCCGTATTGCGGCAAGGATCATAGTGCAAATAACAATTGCGGACATTCATCTCTGCAAGAAAGGCCAGTTCCCTATCCCACACGACAGTGCTCATATTGGCTGCTGCACTAAAGCCATTAAATCCACCTTTTGCTACCATGTTGCGCAGTGCATTCATACGTTTTATTATAAAGACACGAATTTTATTAGTCATGGCGATGACCTCAGCATCGATGCTACATGTTTCGTCGAAGGACTGCAAGTATAGCATATTGAATGGCGTATCATTACGAAGCAGTTGCCCCTCAAATCGGGATTACTTACATATGGATTCATTCCGCAGGCCACATGCTTGAGGTTAGCTGGGCATAAACGAACATCGCAGTAATTCTTAGTCGGATGCAAAGCATTTACCATGAAAATGATGCAACACAAATACGCAATGGAACTTGGCCACGACATTTTACGATGAGATATCATAGCTTTCTGTGCCAAATTGCGTTTCTGGTTGCCAATTTATTCATGGTATATAATCTATGTAATTCCGATTTAAAGCTACAGTGTATGGTTAATTTTTACGAATGTTTGTTACGGTACTCTTATATACAACATTTTCCTAGCCTCACTTAGGAGGATCATTTATAATTTAATTTAATACACTATTCACATTTGCAAACCACAGAATAATAAATGTCACATGTATAGGAACGGGTATTTCCCGGCGTTTCTATAACCTATTCCGCCTATTTGGATGCTGAATCAAACAAGCGTTTTTCGCTATTTTTCCACACATGCAGGTGGAATTTACCGAAACCCCGTTTTAACATGCACCTTGATCACATAGCTCCTAGCTCTTGCGGTTTGGTCTGTGCGTTGATCACAAAACAGTCAGTCAGGCAGGACAAACAGTTTTATATATAAAGATATACCCTAAACCAGAGACCCTTACATAAATAAAATAAATATACTAAGATATTTTGACTATTTTAAGCTTATAATATTTGGGTATTATGAAGATTCCCTCCGTATTAATTTTGTATATTATAATTTATGTGAACCGATTTAGGATTGGGTGCACTAGAAGTATATTGGAAAGTTATAACTAGATAAAAATTTAAAACAAAAATGCCATCAAATTCAATTTGCATAAGTTTTGTGCTATCAGAATCACGCTTAATTATACCATTAAGTTATATTTTTATGGTGGTAAATGTGAACCCCTTTATATTCAAAACATCGTTGATCAAAACTTGGCTATCGAAAATGTAATCGTAATAGCTGTATCTATTGTATCAAAACAGCTTGCCATGAACCAGTTTAATGTTCTCAGAAATGTGTTCTGATTAAAAAACAAATGTATTTCTTTTAATTTCCAATGTGAAGGAGCTATTTTTTAAAATGTTTATACCCTTATATTATACATTAAAATACAATTAAAACTTTTAGTATTTGTTAGTATTTTCAGTTTATATCCGATGGAAACGTAATTTTTGCATTAATCGATATTAATGGTTGTCACTTTGCATGGCGAAACGATAGCAACAAGAGACAGACAGTCAATATTTATCGATAGCGGTAAAAAAAAGTTTGTAGAAAATTTTCTTCACTTCTAAATGCTAATTGAATAGAGTGTTATTGAGTGATAATTGTGCAATGGAAACTAGTTTGGATGAAAGCATGGATGCCGATAGAGCAAGTCCAAGTCCGCAAGACACTCAATCGCAAACTTCACCTGCAATAAACGGCAAACCTGCTGGTGTCGGTGTTGGTAGTCAAGACGGTCTAAAAGGGGTGGCAATTACTAATGAAAAAACAAACGCCAGCGAATTGCAAAGGTAAGTGCTTGGCACCGGTGTCTCTTTTTATCGTTAACATGTGCAACGATGCGTCAACTTAAACTTCTTGTAGGAACAAGCCGTTCAATGCGTTTAGCGGTCGCCCCATGGGCGAGCACACTCAGATGCAGCAGCAGCAACAACACCAGCAGGCTGCTCAGCATATGGCTAATAGTCAACCACAGCAGGCGGTCAATGGAGTTGCACAGGCGCCAGAAATTTGGGTCGAAACGAAAGCAGAGGACGGACGTTCGTATTATTATCATGCAGTAACCCGTGAGACAACCTGGACGCGACCGGATGGTCCAAATATAAAAATTATGACACAAACTGAGGTCGAGGAACTGGCCAAACGGCAAACGAATACCGTTGCTAAGTCTGAAACGAGCTTAACGGATCATGCTGAAGTGCCAGCAGGAACATCTGCTTTGCCTGGCCATTCACATTTGACCTCGCAACCACCGCCGCATCTATTGAACCAACCACCCCCCAATGCTGCGGCGCCGTTGCTTAGCCAGCCGCCTCCGAATGTGCGACAGCAACCGCCACCGATGTTCCAGCAGCCACCCGGAATGCAGCCACCACCAGGCTTTGGCCAGCCACCGCCGTTTTGCATGCCACCACCCGCTTACGGCTTTCCCGGTGCAGCACCAGCAGGTCCATGGGGCGTTGGAGTGCCTCCATGGCAACAGCAGCAGCATATGCATGCACCGCCTGGAGCAGCACAAGACAAGCCCGCTAAGAATCTGATTATCAAGCCGGGTGTGATTGATCCGGCTGTCATTGCCCGCGCAGCCGAATGGTCTGAGCATCGTGCGCCTGATGGGCGACCCTACTATTTTCATGCAGCACGCGGCGAGAGCGTGTGGGAAAAGCCACAAGCGCTTCGCGATATGGAAGCGGCACGCATGGCAGCCCACTCGGGCGCTGCACCACAGACAGCAGCAGTTGGCCCTCCGAGCGGCATGCCGCCTCATTTGCTTCCCAATCCGCTAATGCATATGCCGCCGGGTGCAGCACCTGGCTTTGATCCGCAAATGGCATTTGCAGCCGCTGCGGCAGCCATGAAGGCTAACAGTGAAAACAACAAGGCTGCACAGGCCGCAGTGCTGGAGAAGGAGGCTAAAAAAGCGGCCGAAGAGAAGCGCAAAAAGGAGGAAGAGCAAAAGAAGCTCGCGGCAGCAGTAGCGAGTGCCAAGCAAACTGACAAATCGCGTCCTGTGACCAGCACGCCAATTGCGGGCACACCATGGTGTGTTGTGTGGACCGGTGATGCGCGTGTCTTCTTTTACAACCCATCAACGCGCACTTCAGTTTGGGATAGGCCGGAAGATTTAATGAACCGCGAGGATGTCGACAAGGCGGTTAATGAACGCCCAGAGCAACTAAAATCTGCAGACGAAAAATCTGCTGAACCAGATCATAAACTAGGGGAGAATGCCAGTGTGCTGGAGAAGCTGGCACAGGTTCAGCAGACACCTCAACAGGTTCAGCGCGTGGAACCGGATGATGACGAAGATGATGAGATCATTAAAATACGCACCGAATCCGAATCGAGCGTAGAGGAGGTACCCACAAAGCGGGTGCGCACGTGTAAGTTCAACAACACATTTTACCCAACATTTTCGGCTAATTATTTTCTTATCCATTTTATAAAAACATTTTGAAATATTTAATATACTAAGTATCATCTATATATAATAACAAGCCATAATTATGTTTGTTTTCTATTTAACCCAGTTACAAAACCCAAAAAAAATGAGGATGCAGTGCTGGAGGCTGAACAGCGTGCGGCCAAGGAGCGCGCTTTGGTGCCACTCGAGACTCGCGTCACTCAGTTCAAGGAGATGTTGCGCGAGAAGGATGTTTCAGCATTCAGCACCTGGGAAAAGGAGCTACACAAGATTGTGTTCGATCCACGCTATTTGCTGCTCACATCAAAGGAACGCAAACAGGTATTTGAAAAGTATGTGAAGGATCGCGCAGAGGAGGAGCGCAAAGAGAAACGCAATAAGATGCGACTGAAGCGCGACGATTTCCGCAAACTCATGGAGGAAGCCAAGCTGCATGGCAAGTAAGTAATCAATTATAACAAATAATTTTTTTATTCAATTTGAATATAAAAATAATTTGCAATACCTTTCATTTTAGGTCTTCCTTTTCGGAGTTTAGTCAGCGCAATGCCAAGGAGGAGCGATATCGGGCCATAGAGAAGGTGCGCGAGCGCGAGAGTTTGTTCAATGAGTTTATCGTTGAGGTGCGTCGGCGGGAGAAAGAGGATAAACAGCTAAGAAAAGAGCAGGTATGTGTTGGCATTGTGCGACTAACTGCCCACTTACGTATCCATATCCATATATGCATATCTATTCTTATATATGTTATTGACTTACCATATTATTTGTATACAAAGTATTTATATAATGTTATTGATTTTTGTTAATTAATACAACATGAACCGATCGATCCCCTGATCTGAACGATTGCCCCTGACCGGTTCGGTTACAATTTCATGTTGCAAATTGTGTGTTCGGTACGACCAAATTTGTAGATAAGAGCTAACAGATTACAGCACAAAAGCACCCACCAAATGCAAACACCAAATTCACATACAGCCGTTGATCCTGTCGTCATCGTTGTCGTCGTCATCTCGTTGTCTTCATGGTCCCAGTTCCAGGCCAAAGTTGATAGCTCAAGTTCACCACGCACACGCTTGCAAAATCTGTCTGTGTGGTGAGTTCAAAATAAAAAAATAAAAAATTTACAAAAAAATTTGTTTTTCTGCAAATAAGAAACAAATTTGGAATCAAACAAAAACAATACCAAAAAAAAAAAAATAAAAAATCAATAAAACAATCACTAAAAATCAAAAGGTATGCAAAAATTGAAAATTACCTGATAATCGTTGGTGTGATTTCCACTTCCCGCCCCGCCCTGCGTCGCACATGTCGCCTAGGAATGATGTTGTGCCAATGATGATGATGATCGATGATCAATGATGGTGATGATGTTATTTGGCGTTATTTTTTCGTAAAAGATGTGATGTTGATGTTGGAAGATCAATGTTTGGGTTATTGGAAGCGGAAGCAGCCACTCATCACTGAACAGCAACAACAACCATTACAGAACGGGCAACAGCAACAACAACAAAACGTGTACAGGTGGCTTCGAGGCTGAGCAAACAGTATGAATTATACATAATTTAATTAAACCAATAATTTTTTTGTTTTACCAAAACTTGTAAATGGCAGCGCCCACAACAGGAGAATTAATTAACCCATTCCAAGCTTGTGCAGAGCAAAGTAAGAACTGTCTTTAGAGAATAACTCTTCCTCTTTACTCTCACATTGCTCTCACAAGCTTCAGGCAACGGCGCAGCTCGTTGATAGGCTCTCTGTCTCTCACTCAGACACTATTTTATTTATTATATCTTATGTATCTGGTACGTTTACTTTAGTTTTATGTACTGTGCACTTCGGCCCAGCTGAAGTCCCTGACCCGGCCCGGTAAAATCATAGAGAAAATGCATCTTACATTACCGATTCACTTATCTAAGGCACACACATATCTATTACAATTTCTTTAATAATGTTATAAAAAAAGTCGTCTATATAAGCTAGGATAGCACCGTATATTTGGGA